ACAGTTTCACGCTAACCGCCTGCACAACGTCTTCATCTTCGTTGTTGTTGTTGTTGTTGTTGTTGTTGTAGCGGCTACTAAACACCGCTCGGGTCGGCTCATCCATCAACGTTGTCGTCTGTTTCAGCTAAGGGGAGGCCCAGGTAGTGCGCGACTTCAACGGGATCTGTCCATAGCGACAGAGGCGTTAGCTGGGTGGGGTTCTGGGGGCATACGAAGAAGTGCCGTGAGTCATATGGCGACTCTCCGAATGCCGGGCAGGCAAAGTTCTGCCCCGTTTAAGTCAGGTGGTTGTGTGCCAAGAATAGCATTCACAGGTCGTGAGTCTATATAACTCGGGACCGACTCCTTGTGAATGCCGTTCAGGGCCTGTCTGTATGCAGTTGGGTGCAGCGGTTGCCTCGCCTTGCAGAGCATTGTGTTGTGCTCCTTGATGGGGAGCATCTGGGCGTCATCGTGTAAGTGGTGTTGGGGCGACATCAGAAGGCATCCGGTCGCTGTCCGAAGTGCCGTGTTCTGGCAGATCTGTACCTTCATACACTGCGTCCTGCTAGACCCCGGCGACTAAACGGGCGCTGCATAATTTAGAACTGGCCGGCCAATTGCCTTGCATGTTGCCAGCAACGTTTCTTTGTCTTTGCCCCAGGTGCTGCCGGCTAGCGACTTGAGGACATTGTTGCGGCTCTGTACTCTGACTGACAAACCGAGCAGATTGTCGAAGGGACAGTGTGTGGGTATGGTAGTGTTCGTATGTGTGTCTATTGTTGTGTCATGTTGGGGTGTGGGTGTGTTGGTGTTGTGCTGCTCGGGCGAGTGGCGGTTTGCCGTGGATGCTGTCCGATTCGCACAGCATGGGGCCACGAACGACGTGGTCCATTGCCGGTGCGTATGTAGGCCCGCGCAGTTGCGGAGATGACTTCACCCGTCACAGATGTTGCACCTGACCGAGGTGCAGTTTGCATGCAATCGTCTTTAGCATACGCAGCAGGTGTATATTTCTGGCCCTGGGTTTGACTCTATGCCAGCCCTGAGCAAAAGGATACGGAGCAGATGAAGCCCCATTGTCGAACAACGTTTAATGGATTTCGCCGACCTAAACATGGTTAGATAGCCGAAATAACAGCCCTTGGTCGGGTAAACCCCGAGTCATTCCGAGTCAATGTCTTCTTCATCTTCGTCTTCGCCTTCGCTTGCACTGTTATTACTTTCATATGTTTACTACTGTACTCTTTTTCGTCTTTGACCTCGTCTTCATCTTCGGCTTCGCTTCCACTCTGTCTGCAAACTTAATCAAGGCCAGAGGCTGAAACGAGATGTTGCCCGCCAAACGAAGCTCGAAGGCGAAATAGCGTAGAGCCTCCAATTCTTCACGGATTTTAGATTTTCCTCTTTTTTTAATAAACTAGACTGAATTCCTAAAAGATCGCTCAAACTCCATTTTTGAATTTTTATTTGTTTATAATTTATTTATTTTTTTTTGCAAAGTGCAGAGAAAGAGCCAATCGATTTTCCTTTTATTTTTAATGAATGTTCCCCAAACCAAAAAAATTGCACAAGAAAAATTTTAAATGTTATAATCTTTTTTTTTTTTTTGCTGACGGTGCTTCACCTCTTCCACCATCGTAAATTTTGCTGTAAATGGCAGCAAAAAAACATTAAAAATCAATGCGATTTCTGGACCATTTAAACAGTGCACTTTTTCATACTAAAATTTAATTGCATACCCAAAACTTTCCTCAAAAATTTTGTTTTGGTGACACTTTTTTATAACATTTAAAATTTTAATATTGCATTTTTTCGTTTTTAGGAAATCCTATAAATGTTTTAACTAGTTTCTAATTATAACATTGATTAACAGGAACCTAAGGATCGATTTTCTTCAGAATTGCTAATTTCTCTGCGCTTTGCATTAAAACAATTAATATAAACAGATAAAAATTTAAAAATCGAGGTCGAGCGATCTCTTAGGAATTGAGTTAAGTTTATGTATTTTAAAAGAAGAAAATCCAAATCGGTTAAAAATTGGAGGCTCTACGCTATTATGAACCCTACGTTTTGGTTTCAGGCCACTGTGCGACGGTATTTCAGTTTAAGTAACTCATACGCAGTGGTACACTATTTTCTTTGTTTAGAAACTGAACTGTACAAGCAAGTAAAAAAATGAAGTACAAATTATTTTTGATGAAACTGTTTTCTAAAAGATTTGAAAAATGACAATTCTCGGTTAGGTTCTTGCCTCGGTGTTGTAGACCCGACTGTCGCGGAAACGCTGTTGTTGTAAAAAAATTAAAATTTAAAGGAAAAGCTTTTAGGAACCTGCCGAAGTGACAGTCCTTAGCCGTTCCCACGACAGTCGGGTCTACGTAACCGGAACGACCCAGATTTGTATATGGCCAAGGAATGTCGCTCTAGCAACAATCCCCAAAAACTCTTTGGGCAATTTGTGCACGGTGCAGATTAGAGCGATACGATACGCGATATGATAGGCGATGCGATAAGCAATACGATATAAAAGTGACATCGACATGCTGAAAACTGTGCATACTTGCACTGCGGTGACATACAGTATCGGTCATATCTATAGCACGTCATTTCAAAGTGATATTGTGTGCCACTTATGCTTATTTATTTATTTTTAAGAATTTTCTATTAAAATACAGTTCTTTCTCTAACAAACCCCATATAAACCCAAGTGTAACAATTTGTAGAAAACTTAAAAAAATTGCAACAAATTTTCACCTAAGTTTCAAACTTTTTTCTCGGAAGTGTTAGAATTTTTTTGAGTACACAGTCACTGCAATTTTAGTCTGATAATGTGCAAATTTCAAGTGGCTACAAATTACCGTTAATTTTTTAGAATTTTTTTTTGTCGCATTGGCTTTCATATAAGGAATAAACTCAATTTATTTGTATATGGAAGAAAACCGCAACACCTTTGGCGAAAAAAATTCAAAAAAATCAACGGTAACTTTCAGTCACTTGAAACTTGCACATTATCAGACTAAAATTGGTTGGGCTATACAACTGTGTATTCAGAAAAATTCAAACGCTTCCGAGAAATAAGTTTGAAATTTTGGTGAAAATTTGTTGCACTTTTTTGAAGTTTTCTACAACTTGTTAAACTTGGGTTTATTTGGGGTTTGTTAGAGAAAGAACTGTTTTTTAATTGAAAATTCTCAAAAATAAATAAATAAACATAAGTTACACACAATCTCACTTTGAAATGGCGTGCTATAGATATGACCGACACTGTATGTACATATATCGCTTGCGTATCGGCCGAGGTACACAGTTTCCTCTCACTCCGCATATAATTCCTTCAAGCATCTGATCATCATTCCACATACGCTCTGTACTACTTCAGAATACCATAAACAAAAATATTTATTTTGAATAAGTTACAAATCGGAAATGCTGTATGTAACAAATAATAGTTTATGGCAATAAATGATTTCACATGGCTGCATATCTACAAATGTATTTATACATAAGTTAAATAAAACCCGGGCTTTCGTGTAAAAATAAAAATATAGGTATCAAAATTGAAGTACAAAATTAGCAAGGTCATTTCATCACGCTATGCTCGCATACAAAAGGCTAATCAAGTAACCGTGAGAACCATGAATGTGGAATCTTATTTTGCAAGGCATAAAAACGCACATAAAAATATAAACACACATGGCAAACATAAAATGCTAAATACTAAAGTGCTAAAATAAAATGAATGCTATAAAATTCGACATAAACAACGCTCTTAACAAAGCCAATTGTACGGTACATACATACATACATAGGTATGTGCGCCTGGAGCTAGAGAGGAGGCGGAAAGTCAAGGGTTAGCTCAGTTGCACGAAAGGGAACTGTTGGCTGCAACTCGATTTTGCATGCAATCATCGTGGCACCATATTTGCATAATTGCTTTTCGCTACACACTTACATGAATACACACAACCACGCTGACATTCACGTATGTTTGTATATGAATGTATATATATGTATTTGCATGAAAATGTATGGTTGCACGCTTGCTTCTCTTGTAGGGAAAACACTTCAAAATGCCAGCATGCTGCATGCAAAGTGTGAAAGCAACACCAAAGGGATGAAAGGTATAACGAAAGTGAAAAGTGAAAAAAATGAGGAGAAAGGTTAGGGGAATAAAAAAAAACAGGTCTAGGTGAGGCCGCGCACTCAGCTCGCTGGTTTAAAAGGAGAAACTGCTAAAAGTGACAAATGTGCTTCGCAGTTGAAATATTTCGACTTTTGTAAGGGTAAGACAGTGAAAATGTTATCCATTTTGTATACAAGAAACCTTCAGCCCGCACCACAAGTTCATTGAGAAATGTTTGCAGCTTATTACTTTCGTTTACGATTATGACGTTTAATTTTTAATTTTTTATTTTTTTATTTTTTATTAATTCAAAGCAGATCAACGGAAATATATGGGTTTAAATGAGTTCTACGCTCTTTTCGATTGTCTGTTACGTTTTGATAACAGCTTAAATGTTGGCGAGCGTGATATAGAGGTCATATGCTCTCACCGCTTGGTATTAATTTATACGAATGCTTTGCAGATTTTTGGTGCAGCGATTGCTATACCCATCCTTTTAACAATTGGGACAGACACGAGGTGTGTTTTTTGTGAAAATTAAAATGATATGCGTCAATATTGGACAATATTGTTGGTTAAATACCTCGTAGATTAATACTATTATTTATGTGCAAAAAAATATATATATGTGTATGTATATACTATGTAATACATATCTACATACATACATATGCACTTAAGTAGATAAATGATAAATATGTGCCTGATGCTCAAGGTCATAAGTATGTACATATGATATGATATGATATGATAGATAGTTAATTGCTCGTAGCAACTGTTACATTCAAAATCATTACTTAGCCCCATTGACTGATTCATCAATGTTCCACAAACGCAACTACATACAATATACAAATAATGAGCATAGGACATCTATACAGTAGATACTCACCTTTTAGCACCCTCTTCACCTTCCATAAGCTGCTCCCCACTAACGCCAGCCGCATTCGCAGTTTGGTCTGCGCCTGCAGCTGGTGCTGTTGCTGCTGTAACGGCAGCAGCGGATGCTTCCGGAGCGGCAGCAGCATCCTGGGTGGGTGCAGGCACATCTTCGTCGGCTTGACCGCCTTTAACGGCGCCTACCAACGAAGTGAATTGATTTGTAAGACCAGAGAACATACTTGACCACTAGCTTTTTGTTTGCTTCTTTTACAAATTCCGTTTATTGCAAAATATTTTCGCAAAGTTGCACTTACTGGCACACCAAACGATGAGTTTATGTATTGGTGGGAGTATGTGGCTCTAAGTAAGAAATTTTGTTGTTTCTAATACAGACTCTTTGACGAGGGTCTGATTATAAAGTTAAGGTAGTATCTAGTGCGTGGAAGAGCAACGAAAACGAATGGTGGTTCGCATGCAGATGTGATTTTGTTCTTAGTTTTCTTAGTTCGTTTGTGGGTGGTCGATTTGACACGCGCGTCACGAAATTTTTGGAATGCAAAAAGTAGGTACCCTGAATGAGAAATCAGGGGTTGTTTGTTCGCGTGTAGCACAAGTTCTCACGAATCTCTCGCGTTTTACGAACACTTTTGAGTTGAGCACTACAAATTTTTTGCACCTGAGTCGCTGTGGCTGTTGACTACTTTGCAGATTTTACTTTTTCAACGTTTTTCCAATTTTTTTTTTTTTACTTTTTTCAAATGTGAACTTTTCAATGTTAAAACGTTTATGGCCGACTTTAATTTGCGTTTACTAGTGCACGATAGTTACGAGATTTTCGCTTTTATTACCTTTCGACAGAAAATTTTGCGAGGTGTAAGTGGCAATTTTTTCACTTTGTTTTATTGAAGAGCCAATTACAAATCGATAAATTTGGAAGTATTAATTTCAATCTGGGCTTTCTGAAACGAAATAGATATGGCAAATATTATGTAAAAGCCGTTTTAAAAACGCTTTCCTTTTTTTACTTTAATGTTGTTTCAACTGAAACTTAATATTTCTTAAAAGATTTTCACACTTTAATCGATATTTCGCGCAATACGTTCAAAAACGCGTACTATAGTATATAGGATTTCTGAACTGTAGTTGCTGGTATCTCTTTGGCCACTGCTTTACAATGCTGCTTTCTGACACAATATGGAACTCTGACTTTAGAGACTATTCAATTTTTGCTTCCAACTTCGACGAAGGTCCTCTGAAAACTGTCGCTGCAAAGGAATTATATTTGCTCCAAAGCAATAGTTCGCTGCAACCGAGGGTTGTTGCCACGGACACTAAATGGCTCTTGTGGCAGAAAAATCTTCTCACATTGGAATTTCTGCGCAGCTATTCATGCAGACCGACGACAAATGGAAACTTTGGTCTTGTTTATGACGCCCACTGTGGGTGGTTTATGTACAAGGGATTCTTGTACGTGTACTTTGTGCTGGAATTTCTTTCAAGCTTTGACGTTTGCACATGTGCAATAACTTTAAGCTGTGTTTCAAACGCACTATACCTATTAAGAACTTGTTTAAAAACAAAAACAGTTCTGAATTTTTAATTGTTAATAGAAATGCTATATTTACACAATTGGAATGCTAATTTTTGCTCCAACTTATTTTGTTGTGTTTATTTTTTCTTTCTAATCAGAATCAACAGGGTTGCATGCGCAGATAAAGTTTTTTCATCAAAGCATAATCGATACATTTCATTACTTGAACATATCAAAAATGTTTTTAGTTACATAATTATTACATATATCTATGATAAAACCATGGCATATGTTTATAGAAGTAAACCATTCATTTTTCAGTGTACTTACCTTTTCGTTAAAATTTCGTTTCATGCGTTTTCATTTCAATATCTGCGTTAACATTTTATCGATAACAGGTATCGTAAAGTTTCTTCATTACCCAGGGTCTTCACGTTGCGTCTAGTGGTAGCAGGCATGACTGCTTTGGAATGATGTTAATGAGCCCATAGTCTAATAGATGCACGGACTGAATATATTTTAAAAATTAGTTTATTGGTGTTATCCACGGTGTTCTCATGACACGCTATTACCGGAACCACACAGATTTATTTCTTCCGAGTCTAGTGGCACTCCAAACATTTTTCTGGTGTTCTTAGCTTTTAAAATTTTCAGCGTGTATTTGTGTAAATTTGACGTTACCACCAAAACAACTCCAAGTTTAAATTGTTCGCCCCATGTTTATTCCGGCAAGGAATTTGATTTTTTATATTTATGTCAATGTCCTTCGGACACAGTAACGAGTACGATTATTTTGCTTATTATATACCGATGGCTGAGTGGAAGAACGCCCCATATCGGCCTCCGGTGTTCAGAATTTGGTTGAAGAATGTCCAATCTCAGCAAAGCGGCAGTTGATGGGATGAATTTGAACAAATTCTGAGATAGGGCGTTCTTCAACAAAATTCTAAGTGGCTTTTCTAGTAGCAAGACAAATAATATTTAGCGTAATTTTATAACTATTCGTCTTCTTTATTCGCTCAACAATTAGTTGCGTGTGGCAAAGTAGCTTAGGTCAGAGACTGACTTTAATATAATGCACCATTCCGTTGTTTAAACAGGGAATATTTTGATGAGACAATAAGTAAATTGCCTTGCTAGAATGTCTTTTACGATTATTAACTTCGATGGCTCGGCTTCAGTGCGTAATTGGTGGCTATCACACAATCCATTGGAGTCAGAATTTCTGGCAAATCTACGAAAAGGTGATCACAGAATTCGAATCGCCCGAACGTATGTATTCAAAGTATCTGTGGTAGCCCTGATTATACTCAAGCTATCTCGACTTAAACTACTATGGCACACGACCACTGGGTTATATCTTAACAGTATAGTACATACCCGTAGTCTTTGAGTTTTTGCACAAACTAAATGTATTCATGAAGCAAAACAAGCAATTTAATATTTTTTTTTTTATCTATAAAGGAACTTTGTATGGGTGAAAGTTGAAGATGTAATTATGAGTGGGATTACTTTTCTTCAGCTTTCGGACATAATCTTTGACATATTTACAATATTCAATTGTTTCAATTTGTACACAAAAACAAAGCGGTAAACGCCACATATTCATCTATTGTCATTATTTGTCCTTCCTCTGTGATGGCTTTTGTGTTTGCTTTGTTTACATTTTGCATTGTTTTTGCATCGCTATTTCAAACCCTTATTTTTTCGACTTACGTTAAATTATTCTAGAAAAATAAACCTATTTATAGACACCTAAGAATTATGCACCACATCTTGAAAGCGTCATCATCCTTCACGCCATTGCAACTCATCGCGTTACATTTTGTTTTGATCGCGCTGCATCCATTTGGTGTTTCAGCTCCTGGTCAATGCGTTCCTTAGCGCGAAACACTTTGGATTGCAGATAAAATGAGCCACCATTCGATTTTTCGTTTACAGAAAAGAGATGTTCATAGTTTTTCACAATCCTCTCTAGATCATTTAAATCATCCAAATTTAATATTTGTTTCGCCTCTTCCAGTGTCATGCCTGCAATTCGTTTTAATTTCTCATTATTTACGTAGTAAGTATGTAAGAGATTTTAAAATATACCAGTTCTAGCATTAGCTTCAGCTCGCTTCTCGCCTTGCTGTCCGCCACCTCCACGTCGCGCCGCCTCCTGTGAAGCAGCAATCTCTTGCTTAAGCGCTTTCGCAAAAGCGCGACCGATAGCTTGTCCGCCAAGTACAATTATCTGTGCCAAATACTTAGCCATAATTTAGTCGCTGTGTAGCCCAAAGCAGCTAATAAGTTGCCTACGTTTTTTTTAGTTTCCGTCCAAAAAGAAATATTGTGAAATATATCGGCGGAGCCTGCTGGCTATTCTATTAAATTGCCTGTTTATTATTTGACATTACACAATCGTTTCTAACCTCAAAAATGCGGTTGGTTGTCAGATGTTTTTTGGTACTGCCATTGCCAGTGTGGCTGCGTCGGTTGGTAGCTACAGGGTGTGTCAAAGTTTAGATAATGGGTATCGTTCGGGGTTTTTACTTTCGATGTGCTATTTTTGGCACTTATTTTTAAATAAAATTCTTCCGTTTTGTATGTTAAGTTGCACTGTCATTTATTATTGATACATACGTACACATTTCATTCTAAATTTAATCGCAAATAATTTATAAAAACAAAACAAATTCTTACGCTACAAATTGTTTTACCAAATTTTTTAATTCGTATAATTTTTACATAATTAAATGTTTTATTCTTTATATACAAAATTTAACACATTTAACTGCATAAATATTTAATAAAAATAAGAAAGATATTTAATACAAATTACAAAGATATTGAAAATCTGCGGCGCCAGTGGGTTTTCTGGCTTTTATAGTTCACAGAAATTTAAAGATTATATAAAAGCAATAAAAAGGCAAGAACAAAAAGGAGAATAAAGCAGTAGCTCAGCGATATTCTTTTATATTATTTTGGTATGAAAATGAAGAACACTGTTTACTACATATTTTGTTTCTGTATTTTTGAAAAATTTTGCAAATAATTGCTTTATGCCCGATTTCCACTAGACATTGTGATGTTAAAAAAAATTGGTGTCATTCAAAAAATGCCAAGTGGAAATGAAGTTAATGACATATGTATTTATGATATATATATATGATATGATATATATATATATAACATTGGGCCACGAATAGTTCTTAATGCTCATCTTTGTCATTCAAATTTTAGCCATTTAATGCCTAGTGGAAATGCAGCCTTAGAGTGGAACCGAACATCACCTTTTTTTTTAGGTGTTTAGAGCTTTTCAGGCTTTCGGCGTTTTATTCAGTTATGCGATTTATAAGCTGATTTATTGCTGACCACCAGAGAAACTTAGAATGATGAAACATATGATTAACTGAGCTAAAATAATTTCTATAGAGTGCAGAGTTTTTGACCCTATCGAGTAGAATAAAAAAAGCCGTGAGCACCAGGTACTCATAACATTTGATGTGCAAACATCCGCATACGCCTTGGCAAATCATTATGCGATTTTTCATATATTTTTCCGTGTAAAAAACTGTGGCAAGAATTTGTCACTGATACAGAATAGAAGTTACATGCATAAATATATTAGTCGTGAACTAGACCCGAAGTGATCCTCAGCTAGTCCCCAAGTGGTCCTGAAATAGCCCTGAACTAGCCTTTAAATGTCTATTTGTACACACAAGAACCAATAACAGATTTTTTGCTGGGTTAACGCAAATTTTACACATGCCCAGAGCTGAAAGCGCAGTTCCACAACAAGCTTTTCAAGCTTTCAGCGCTCTATTCAGCTGTAAGGTTTATATTACCACTTCAGCGCCAAAAGCTACAACACCTGAAAAACTTGTTGTGGGGTTCTACTATAAAAGGTTTACACATCAAAGATAAGTTCAACTAATGAAGTTCTAGTAGAGAGAACTTACGAAAGCTTTATAGCAATAAAATATAAAATTTCAACTAACATGCTTTTCTTCCAGCCTAAATTTTCCAACTTTCGAGTCAAATGAAATCAAATCCACATTGTTGAAAGCTCAAATCTACATCTATATATTGCCTCTTTTCATTTCTCGCTGCGCACCCTCCGGCGCCAACAGCGCAGTAATCCCTATGTCCCAACAAAAAATTTGCCCTTTTAACAAAATCCCGGATTTGTATGTTCTATAACACAACGCTTGCAATACTTCTTCACCGCCCGATAACCCTCAATCGATATCTGACAATCCTGTATGTTCAGCTGCTGAAGACCGCGACAGTAATAGGCGATGCACTGCACGCCCCGGTCCGTAATCATATCACAATTCCGTAAGCTGAGCTTCTTCAAATTTGGACAACTTTCGGCGAGTGCACGCAGCCCCGCATCGCTGACATCACACTTGCCGATGTCGAGCGCGCGCAGGCGCGGACAGGAGTGAGCCAGCACAGTGATGGAATCATCGCTAACCGCTTCGCAGCCACGCGCATTCAGATAGCGTAACTTATAGCAGCGACGCGCGATCACCTTGAGGCCAGCATCGGAGACGCGATCACACTTCGCCACCGAGAGGTAACGCAGTATTGCGCCCAGTTTGGCGAGTTCGTAGAGACCAAAATCGGTAATGTTCACGCAATCGGATATGCTGAGCTCCTTGAGTGCGACGCAAAAGCTTGGCACGAATTTGAGGCCGGCATCTAAAAGGTTGGAGAAAGTGTGAGCTTATGTTGTTCTGTTTGTGGCGATAAGTGCATGATGGTATGTAGCAGAAACTTACCTGTGATTTTGATACAGCGCCTAAGGTAGAGATAGACCAGCTGCGGACAGTTTTTCACCACGATCTTAAGACCTACATCGTCCAGCACAATGCAGTCGGTAAGGTCTAAGTACTGCAGCAGCAAGCGACGTGGCTGTTCCAAGTTCGGATGTGTGCTGATGCTGAGCACTTGACTGCAGCCTGAAAAGAAAATGTAATAAAAATTATTTGAAAGGATCTCACAGTTTATGGATACGGTTCGGTATATATACTTTTCATCCCGCTAAGTAACCTGCGCACTCAGCTCTTCTTCGCTTCTACATCGCTTCGGTCTTAATTACTTCCCATAGCCGATCTACTTCACTTACCTGTCACATCCAGATGCTGCAAGTTGGTACATTTCGTAAGCACATCCATCAGCGCCTGATTGGACACCTGCACGCACGTCTGCAGCTGTAGATGCGTCAGCTCTGGACAGCGTCGTGTCAGCAGCTGCAAACCTTTGTCCGATATGCGGCAACCCTCGGAAAGCATAACTCGCTCCACCTCGGGGCATGAGCCATTGCATGTTTGTCCGCACAGCTGTCGAAAGATCATTTTCAGCGTCTTATCGCCATTCAGATGTTCACCTTTGAGCGAAATCACCTTCCATAGTGTGGGCCGCCACGCGAGTTGATCGAAGCGTCGACAAACGCGCGCCAAAATGCACAATTCGCAACTATCGAACCAATTGAAAATCCGTAACACAACTTCATCGGGCAGCCGATCGAAGAGTGGACCAGAGCGAAAAATCTTTTTGTTCCACGGTGGCGGCGCGACATTGTCATTGTGTCGCGCGCGTGTTACCGCTGTTAGCGTAGTTGTCGACGGCGGTGGATGGTGAACGATGCTATGCGTTGTGATTGTGTTCGGATGATGACCGGTTGGCGATGGCGAAACAAGCGTGGCATAGCCCTGGTCTAGACTAGGTGAGAAGCGACCGATGTTGCAGAGTCCGTCGGAGAGGCTTTTCACTTTGGTGTGATGGAAACGTTGATCGAGCGCATGGTTGGAGGAATTGTTATTGTTGTTTGAATTGGAAAAATTATCCAAATGATTGGATGAGCTGAAAGCGTCTGCCGGCGAGCCAGTGCGATTGAGCAAATAACGATCGGAGCCACTCGTTTCGCTGGGACTGGATGTGCGATGTCGCAAGTAGTGCGCGTCTGCAAGGAAAGAAAACATAAATGTGGAAATAAGAACACTGCGTAACCTAAATCTAAAATATACATTTTCCCGTCACTCACCTGTTAGCCGTTCGCCGCCATTGCTGTAATTGCATATATTGCGCAGTCCATCCTCGAGGAAATAGCGCTCATTTTGAAAATGGTTCGCCTCTGAGCCCAGCGGCAGCGCGCGTATCGCATTGCCCAAATAGAGCGCATCCATTTTCTTTTCTAAAAAGTATTGTACATTACGCGCTGTATTTCCATTGATCGCACCCGCCACCGTCGGCACACTGCAACGTCCACCCTGATGTCGTGTTATACGTGCGGCTGATGTGGCACTACCATGCGATCCACTACGCGGCAGTTGAAACATTTCTGGCAGCGCGTGATTGTGTTGAGCCGACGCAGCTGCAACGGCAGCAGCATCTGCATCTTCCTCAATATCGACCAATTCATCGAGCAGTCCATCTACAGTGCCACCTTGTTGTGATGCCGATGGTGTATAGATGATGTCGTCCGCGTCGATGCTGAGGTCTGGTGAGGTGCGGGACATTTGATAGACTTGCGGATCGAGTGGACTGGAACTCAGCGGATGATGATATGGCGGCTGATGATGGCCCGTAAGGGAATCGATGACGGCGCTGCTGTTGCGGCCCAACGATGCCAGGGGGCATTCTAGGCTGGTGGGTGGTAGCGGCCGGCGTGCGGTCTGGTGTGACATGCTGACCTGGCGACGGCGGCAATGTGTAGAATAATGGCGGTGCTGTTGCACGCGACAATAGCAACAACGACGATAAGTGGTGTGCGTTGGAGAGAGACTACAGATGGCGGAGAACTGGAAAGATGGCAAAATAAAAAAAGATGTGGGATTAATTTTCATGTAGTTTTATTTGAAAAATTTAAATAGAATAGTTAGCGCTATTAGAAATATTGAATGTTATCGGCTTTTTTGCAACATCAACACCTCCATTGCCCAAAGTAGCACGCTTTCCGCTGGCTATTCTTAACTTATTGCGTTTATGGGCTGCCTGTATGCGTGCGAACATTCAGGCATACATATCACTGTAAGTAAATACATAAATATGTATGTATGTATATACGAGTATGCACGTGCGTATTTGCTTCGGTAGTACTAGGCTACATTTGAATTATAACGTACTCATTTCCGTTTCCTGCTTTCTACCTACGCTAACGAGAAGTGTGAGCGTTAATGGTTAGCGCTTTAGGAATAAGTATATGTATATGTATTTTTTATGCTCGTAGCATTAAAAATAATTGACTTGCAAAGAAAACCAATAGAATAAGTTTAATTGATATTGTTTTTAGTACAAATATAACAACTAATTTTTTTAAATTGCTGGCAGCGCTGTTACGCTGCATAAAAGGAACGTTCCATCACTACTTTAGGCCAGGTTATCGCGGTCGTCTACAAAATACCCTTAGGCTCAGAGCCCATTGCGATGCCGGCTGTGGGGTCAGCAACTCCTAATTCCTTCTAAACACATTTTAAGTTCTCACCAGTTTAAGAAGATCCCTGATTTTCACGCACCTAAGGTCCTCCAAGTTGTCGAAGAATCATCTAGCTGAGTAGACTGGAGAGTCTCCGTCTGGATAGAGCAAGGCACTGGCACAACAGGCAAAGTATATTTTCCTTCTCTTACGATTCCTTTCTATGTCCCAGTGTTACGGAATCCATATGACCTTTGGACGAAATGATACAGCCATCTCGTTAATCAATGTGCGACTTTTAATAAATACCATGGAGATTGTCGAATGCTTCGTGAGAGTTTTGATTGCCGTCGGGCTGTCAGTGAATATAAACCTAGGGTATCATATCACACTTTAGCAGATTTGTGGTCCTGTCGATTGCCATCAGTTCAACCTGAAGTTGTGCGGCAGTGGTCCGGAAGATGAACGACAAGGGAGATTATCAGAGTTTTGAGCGTCTCGTTTGCATTCTTTCTTTAATGGTAGTATGGACGTAAACGCTATACTGAGAGCAGAATTCGGCAGTGCGTTGTCCACCAGACCAGGAAGAACCGAAAACTCTGTAAGTATCCTGCCACGACTGTAACTATGTAGTACTTGACCACTTATTTAGAATATTCATTCGAATTGTTGCAGCACTTATGACCTGTTTGGCATATAGGTCTACCAGAAGAAAATTCAGTAGAGCAGACAGTGCTTCGATGGTGTTGTTCTCTCTGCAGCCTTTGGAATCTGTCCATATTTTTAAAGTTTACCGCCCTCGTAAGTTACCACTATGCCGTGTATTATTTTGGGTTCCATGCCCCATCTTTTTCCGATTGACCTGCTGCAGGAATAAAATTAGTGCTACCTTTGATTTGGCTCTGACCGTAAACCTTTTTATTGTTGATACAGAGTGTGCTGCACACCATGTCTCTGATACGCCCTTCTATTAGTCGCTCTACGCAAAATGTATAGAAAGCTTAAAAGGCCTTTGTCCGCAGGCAAGATAGTGCACATCACCGCTCTAGAGATTTTAGCAAGAAAGATGAGCGACTAATGCCCTTTTAACATAGGAACGCATTCAATTCCAGTTGGAAATATGGTGCACCTTGTGATTATAAGGGAACGCACTGATATAGAATGGGCTTGCCGATGAATGACAACTGCCGCAACTCTCGAGAGCTTCGAGCTGTACTTTTTCGACTGCCTGTCGGATCTAAGCACAATCAACACTGAGCCATCTAAATGGCATTACAACGGCCACCCTTATGCTTAATTTTGGCACAATTCGACCTGAATGAGGGCAGTCACAATAACCTAACCTAATCTACTATTCGGTTTTTGACAACCTGGGCTCCGTATGTCACAGATTTTTACTTATCATCTGCCAGACCAGCATCCCCACTCCTCTTTCCAACTTTGAGTCATCGGAATTCATGGAAGGCAAGAATTCCATTCTTTCTTCGTAGTAAATCGTATAGGAATCCTGCAGTGGAAGTCTCTGAAAGGCACGAAAACCCGTTATGGCGTCCTCTCTCTTTCTTTAAAGGGTTCCTCCTACGGGCGCTGTTTTGAGCATCTCTGGAGTATATCGACTACCCCTACCTGAAAAAAATTACAGTACTCAAAAGGGCTAAATTTGTGGTTGATGGAGAGCTCCCTCAAAAAAGTACAACAATCCAATAATTTCTGGCCAGTCATCCCAAGTGGGGAGGGAGTGCCAGTTAGTTTCTATGACGATTTATAAAATTGTTTTAAGCTCAATAACGGCTCAAAAACCTCGAGGATCTTGAAACTCTTTCTTAAAAAAAAATTTCTCCAAGTTTCAAGCTGTCAAGTTTTACGCATTTAAAAGAGCCTATTATAATAAACGAACCTACTTGAATGCGAAAAAATTGGGGAGCAAAGCTGCCATAGTAAAAAAAATTTAGCTATTGTTTTCCTTAGCGAGATGCAGCACCAAAAGACGGATCTTTACATGGCAATTCTGGCAATATCTTTAAACTCACCACTATCTTTCAAAAGACAATTTTTTCGTAAGTAAATATTTCAATTCTGGCAACCATATTGAAAGCTCTTTTTTGTATTTCAGAAAGATCTAATAACGAGTAGGTCTTAGCGTTATTCTGTTCGTCTGTTAGCAGTAAGTCTTCTAAAAATTAAATTATGTAAGTAAACAATACATATTTTTCTTTTTAAAACAATAGAAGTTATATTAAATTTCGTTTAAAAAATGAAACAATTTACGAAATAAAAATATATATTTTTTAAGAAAAATAAATTCTTATGAAATTAAAATATGTATATAAATATTTGGTTTTAAAAAATTAAATCAAAAACTAATAGAAAATTAAATTAAAACAAGGAAAAAATAAATAAAATAAGTTCCAAAAAGAATATAATCTAAGACTAAAGGAAGATTAAATGCAAAAGTTACAAATAAACAAAAAAAAAAAAAATAAGTTTCTAAAGTTAAACGAAATAAAAAAAAAAATAGTTTTCTTCTTAAAAGAATAAACTTTAAAGACTAAAAGGAAATTAAATTAATGCAAGACAAAAAAATAAATAAGAAACAGAATAAAATATTTTTCTAAAAGTTAAACGAAATTTAAAAAATTTAAAATTTTCTTTTAGAACAAAATCTAAATTAAGAAAAAAATATATTTTTCTTTTGAAAACAATTATCTAATGGAAAATTAAATAAAATACAAATTATTTAAAAGGAAAAAATCAGAACTCGGATCTCTCGAACGGCATGTCAGAGCTTTCTTCATTTGGCCATTGCGACATTTCGAACATGTCCTAGCAGTTTTTATTAAAAGAGCTTTTCATCATCATAGTTAGCAAGGGAGCTTTTTCTGCAATACTTTCGTGTCAGAATAAACAAAATCTTTCAAACTTTCAATTGTCTTATAAAAAACTTGCAACTAATTTTTTTATTAGTCAGAAGTGCCCTATTACTCGCAGTCGATGTTGATAATCACCCTGTAAGCGCCAAATACTAAAAAAAGTCCTCCAGTTTTTCTTTTCACCTTTTTGTTTTGCGCTGAACTTACAACAAAAAAAAGCCTGCCACTACTAGCAACAGCAATCTCATTGCAGCGATCTCTCGCACAACACAAAAACACATCGATCTTACGCGGCTATGGCAGCATAAAAATTATGGGGCGCTACAGTGGCTCACTGCGATTGCAAGCTTATGAGTTGTTGTAATTGATGCACTGATGTTGTTGCTATTATTGCTGTTGCTGCTATTTTGCATTAAACAATATATGCAAATCGGCAGACAGCCATGCCGGTCGATACGCTGCGCAGCAAGAACGCGCGTTACAGATCTACATGTGTACCAACAGACCCCTATATACGTACATACATATATATTTTATACATACATACATTTAAGTGCAAAAGCGACGTGCCACAATAAGTGCAACAACGACAGCAATAACAATAAAAATAAATAAATAGGAACAAATGATTTTCTGTTGTTGTTGTTGCTGCTGTTGAAATAATAGTACCGGCAAAATTGCGCCAGCTGTTCATAGTTGATTCGACAAATTCGATCAGCAGCAGAAAGGATGCAAAAAATTATTTTGTATAAGTAAATAAATTTGCTGCCACAATTTGCAACACTGCCGCCTCACACAGACGCATGGGAAGTTTGAAATTTTACATGTAAATTCTGCTGATGGCACTCTACTGCCATTTGAGCTATCGATCGTGCACGCTGTCGCCTTCATTTGCTACCATTTGCTCCTCTGCTGCGACGAGAGACACAACCTTGAGTGCTGGCGGTGGTAAGGAAGTAAGGAAGGGCAATGCACTGCCACAAATGCATATATGTATATATAGCCAGGTATGTAGGTACATGCTTTAAATGCATATTCCATGCTCATTATTTTGATGCATTTTATGTGCCGCAGGCTTACGCATACCAGAGCATATGTACATATGTATGTATGAAGGTAGGCATGTTGGCAGCCAGCGCAACAATAATGATGGCAAGCCGCATAGCTGATCAACGACAGCAGTAGCATCAAATGCAACACTGAATTTGCAACACGCAACTCTGCTGCGGCAAAGCGGTGCGCGGCAGTATTGAAAGTGGAATTTCCTGCGCTTCATTCGCCCCTTTTGCCAAGCAACTGTTAAACCTACAATGGCAGAGCGTTGCATTGGCGCTGGTTGCATTCTCAATGTTCGCAATTACATGCTTGCTTAGCGTTTTCCCACATTTTTATATATGTACATAACTATACCTATGCATTTAAAAAATTCAAATACATAAATGTATACAGAGCTTATGCCAATCTACTGATTACATACCATATCAATACATACATAAATTCATATATACTTGCAGCTCTTGCCGCCAACTGATATGAGACATCTGCTTGTAACTATCACCAATGCCATTTTTGCTACTGCATTGACTTCAACATATTTGCTGCATTCGCCCAATTCTTGTCGATGCGCCCGGATAAGGCCTCATATCCATCATCGACAAGAATTTCCCTAAAGCAATGAAATTTCATACAAGTTCATTGGGCGGCGATTAAATAGATTCGTTGCGCTGATTGCTTGCTCAGCTTACAAAGTGCATGGAGCAGGAACAAGCGGTACTGATGTAATGTATTTCAGGGTAGGACAGCGAGTGGCTATGTAATGGGATGCATAAAATTACATACGTATATGAGGGCATTTAAGCCTTTAGCCCTTTCAAAACAGTGAAAAACCTTTGCCTAAGACCTTCATCGACGAAGAGCTGAACTAATAAATCTCTCATCGTGCCCGACCTTATATTTACATATATACATACAGACGTGTTAAGTGGACGATGGAGAACAGAGCTTTTGCTTGAGACATATGCTCCTGTCTACATAGAAAGGAGAGGAAGAAGTTTACGAGTCTCTAGTGACAGCTAACACACAAGGGCTTAGTCAGACCTAAAACTAAATACTTCGAAACTAGTTCGGTAATGCAAGTCTGAACTTGTTTTTAATCTGGGTGCAAGGTCACTCGAGAGAAATTTGACCATTCGACCTTCGAAGCCACCATCAGAAGCTGATTGAATATTTTGCTTAGTAATGACAGCTTTAAGGGGATGATGCAGGTGGGAAAAACTTATGTGGCACTCAAACTCAGAAGGTCTAGCTATATATTTACTTTCATTGAGCATACAGGACTACAGACAACTGGTGGGCGTGCTGATTGACCACTACTCGCGGCACAATTACCAGACTGTGATCAGCATACATATGTACACAACAACTATATTTGTCCCACCCGCCTTTGAAGAGGATGAGAAAGAGGAACACTTCTGCCCCTTAGAAAAAAAAACAGTGTTTCATAAGAACCCATATCACGTTTGGAAGCTATGGGTAAACGTCTAACATCAAAAATTGAAGACAAAGTTCAATAAATTAAAAAAAAAAATTGCGCACACCCCATCTTCTGCCGCATGTTCTTTTAAAAATTTGCAACTACAGCCAACCGAATGCAAAGATGTTTCACCTCAAAGGCGAGTATTTAAGGCTTCTAGAAGAAATGTGTTATTTAATAAAAAGTACCATTCAAATCGGCCAATAACCCCATATGAGCAAACTTATATAATAGTGCAAATATGTAAGTATTTAGATGGTTAAACATATGGGCATAAAATAAAAAAAGTCTTTATAAGTCAATAAAAAATAAGCTATGGACCAGTGTTGTACAACGCCTGTGCGTGGGGCGATCTTTAACCTATTGAATGCCATTTCAATTTGACATTATAGCGTTTTACACGACAATCTCAATTTGCAATTTCGATGGCAGTTTGTTTATTTAGTTGTTATTCTGTTTTGTTTATTATTATATCTTCACAGTAAGTAATTTTAAGGGTTGTATTCGCAAAGAGCAATTTCACTGAAATTGAGATTTATATGCAATTTCAAGTGACAGTTTTTTGTATGGGCCAGATTGAGAATCGTATCGTAAAAATATTAACGTTTAAATTTTGTATAAGGCACCAATTTAGTTTGTTCTACGTAATTCTAAATTTTTAGGGGTCGTTACCATGGTTTTGAAAAAATTTCATTTGCTTTAAATCGTAAAAATTGCGCAAAATATTGGCTTAGAATCTGATAAATTTGTACTTTATTCATATAAATTGAGCTCGCTGAGTTATACCTGGTCAAGGATAAATTTTGTCGAATTTTTGTGATATAAAAAAAAAAATTTCAAACCCTGGAAATTGCTGGTTATAAGTTTGTTGCTGCAAAGGCTGCTTCTTTTTACAAGATGCATTAGGAAATTCAGATCGTTCAGATTTTCAATTGAAATTAACATAAGTTGGCATTATTTTTCAAAAATATTCACTGTAGCGCTTATCACATAACTTTACGACACTCACATATCGACAAGATTTGAACATTTATCTTAATATTTTTAATTTTAATTATTATAATTAATTTATATGTATACAAATATAGCATATTTTTTTAACAAAAACCATATAAATCCAAGTTTCAATCTTTGTGGAAACTTTAATAAAAAATTCAACAAACTTTCGTAAAAACTGCATACTCCGAATTATTCTAAAAATTAAATTAAAAAGCCACGTCCAATAAAAACACAAATTAAAAAGTGATCCCTTTAGACCCATCATATTTTTCTTTCCAAATAGTCTACCATCCCGCCGGCAAAAGTTTAAAGACCTTACCGATACCCGACCTTCCCATTCAGTTTAAAATTAGTACTGTGGGTGCCGCGGTTCTCGATACCCCACGCCCATCTCTATCACATATTTAAATATATTTGTATAGTTGTTATTATAAGCCATATTTGCTCCCACACTTAATTATATTTCAACAGCTGTTTATACATATAAACAACAATAAAAGTGAAAACTATTTTTCAATTACTTGGAGCGGTAAGTATTTATAAAAGAACGAACAACTTAATATTTTTAGTCAGTATTTAAGTTAAAGGTTTTGTAGAGTAACAATAATTAGTGAAGAAAATGATTGGTCTGCGTGCGATTTTGGGTGTCTTCTTGCTAATGGCCTTAGTGAATATTTTTGCAGTTAATGCGGAAGAGGAGGATGGTAATACATAAAGGATAATAAATACAATACAAGTTTACAGAAAAAAAAAAATAAAAAAAACACTGTCTGACCTGAGGCATTTCGAATATGAAATAAAAATATTAAAAAGTAAAACAGTTTTTGAGATATAGCCGAAACTCGGGTTTTTGGGATCTGGGAAAAGTGCACTAAATTAATAGCAGAAACTGTTTCAGAACTCGAAAAATCGATATTTGGCTATATCTTAGAAACTTCTAATTTTTTTATACATATATATGAACTTAATATTCGGCTTCAGCCAAAAATGTTACATCGGGAATGATGGACAAATGCCACAGATCGGATTTCTTAGCGAATAGTTGAATTAAAAAAATTTAAAAATATAAATGTTTTCCCTGAATAAGTAAAGATTTATTAAATGCTTATAATATTTCCAGTTTGCAGTCAACCCGCTGATCGTGGTCATTGCCGTGCTCTGCTATGGCGGTACCACTACGATATCGTTTCAAATAGCTGTCAAACCTTTGCTTATGGCGGTTGCGGCGGAAATGATAATAACTTTGAAGCTATAGAGGACTGCGAAGCTACATGTTTGGAATAGTATAAACTTTATACTAACTATAAAGGATATCTTAGGGGTGAAATGTTGAAAAAAATTGAATAAAAAAAGGAAAATTTGAATTGGTAAAGCATAGGTTTGTTTCTTATAACCCAAGGCGGTGAAGTGGGTACGAGTATTTTTAAAAACAAGTCAAGTTTGGGTCCAAGCACAAGGGCATAAGTAGTTGGTAGTTGTGCTTCTTGAAATGACAGAAGAAAAGCTTCGAATGTGAAAAAGATTGTGGCTTATGGATCTTGAACTTTGATTGAAATACAAATACACTGGGATCATCTTTCACTGTGCGATAGACTGGGTCAGGCTAAACATTGTAATAATGAAGAAAATATTTTAGCTGTTTTTAGCATGTACCTTTTTACGACCCCAAATCCTTTTAAAGTAAGCTTTCTATCTAGTGGAGGGTCTACTCGGTATACAAGGGGCATCCAATAAATCTTTAGACCACCAAAAAAAAAAGGAGCAAATTTCAATCCTGCTTAAACGATAAACTTTTCAACGCGCGACAATTGAGCTATACCGAGAAAAGAGGAGAAAATATAGACGTATTTTAAAGAAGAAGAAAAGAGAGGGAGAAAATGTGTGTTTTCTATCTTTCGAAACACTAATTGAAAGAGCTGCTAACGAGAAGGTCTCAGCGTTGTTTTGTGTCTTCTAGTAATAAGTTTTTTAAAAAATAAATGAAAAATATATAACATATGCATATATATATATTGCTTACTTTTTATAATACTAAAAATTAAAAATAAAAAAAAAACTAAATTTAATAAAAAAAAAATTTAAATTAAAATTAAAAGAAAATTTAATTTAAACAAAATAATTAAGAAAAAAAAGTAACACAACTTCCTAAAAATTAAATGAAATTAAAAAAAAACACTTTTCTTTTTAAAATAAAGAAAAATTAAAATAAAATCAAAATAAATGAAATAATTTCATAAATATAAAATGAAATTATAACAATTTTGTTTTTAACCAGTAAACGTAACAAATAAAGGAAATTACATGAAACAAGTAATTTAAAAACAATTTTTTTAAATATAGGCTTTTAATAGTGGCTAATAAAAAAAGTCGACATATTTTAAATATCTGGACACCCGCGCCACCTAGCGGATTAATTCATCTTTAATAATGCATTGCAATCGGGTTCTGAGCTAAGTTTAAAGTTTCAGGTCCCTAGCTCTGAGACACTACCTTTCCGTTGCAAAAAGAATTATCGAAACCGGTTGACGTGGTCCAAAGTTATGCGGTAACAAACATAAAAAAAAAAATAAAAAAAAATAAATAAAATATTCCGACGAACTGATAACCTCCTCCTTTTTTGGTAGTCGGTTAAAAACAAAACCGACTTAAATTCTCATATAAAAATTTAGGAGTAGCGTTAATTTCTTCATGATCCAATGATCGAATCTATACCAAATTAGTATGGAACCACCTCTGAGAAAAAAAAAATATTCCGACGAATTGATAACCTCCTTCTTGTTTTTAAGCCGGTTAAAACACATATTACATGGTTACTTTAAACTTGAAGAAGCTGGATATAAAGCAATTTAATAAAATTTACGAGATTTTTATGGTTTCGAGGGAATACCCTAGTAATTTTTTCGATTTACTCAAATATATGTAGGAATGCGTTCCAATATTTAAAATATATAAACACGGTTTTAAATAATAAGATATACGAAATACTTATGAGGTCGTTTACTTATACAGTGACTCAAACAAATGACCTCGTGTTGACTTTTTTTTTAAACATTCGTAATGTTTTTCTATAAAATGCCGTTGAAACTGTAAACAAAACCATATTATTCAGTTTCAAAGTTTACACAAAATTTAGGAAAATTCTAAAAAATTTCATAAAAATTTCACCGTTTTATTAGGAATCCTTAGAACATGCAGTTAGCTATGCAGTTTTATAGCCCATACAATTTTTGTCTAATGACAAGCAAGTTTCAATGGGCTAAAAAATCGCGTTGATTTTTGAGAATTTTTTTTGGATACTGCTTTTGTATTTTTTTTTTATATAACAAAAGCAATTTACAAAAACTGGGGTTGATTTTTTGAAGTCTTGTTGCGAACGGTCTCCCGCGTTGTATTTCATAAGAAATTCATGCTTACATATGTATATAGAAAAAAGTTCAAAAATCCGTCACCAAAATATTCTCAAAAATCAACGGGATTTTTTAGCCGTTTGAAACTTGCACTTCATCAGACTAAAATTGTATGGACTATAAAACTGCCTACCAAAATATATCCTAAAGAAGCACATTAAAAAGTTGTAATTTTGATAAAATTTTTTGAATTTTCTTAAATTTGTTTTTTGTTATTTTTTGGCCATTTAACAATTATATTCAACAATTTTATAATGAGCTCGAGGCCATTTTTAAATGAAAAATTTATTGTGGAAAAGCAACAACAATTTGAAAAAATGGTAGAAGTGATAGCTATTTCGGAAATCACCACATTTCCTCATCAGACTTCTTTCAGTAGGATTCGAACCGACGATCCCACTGACTCAGCCAGTTGCCCATGCACCGCGCTAAGACGCCTTGTAAATTATCGTTTGCTTATTTCCACTATTTTTCATTTTT